CTGCAGCGGCGGTAAACAAGACGGCGTTGAACTCCATGCTCATGAAAGGCCCGGACCTGTTGAAGTCTTTAGTTGGAGTGCTGATTCGCTTTCGCGAGCGACCCGTAGCATTGTGTGGTGACATACGTGAAATGTATCACCAAATTCGCATTATAAAGGAAGATCAAACGCCACAAAAATTCCTTTGGCGAGGAGGCGATGTATCGAAAGAACCTGACGTTTATGTGATGCAAGTTATGACGTTTGGCGCCACATGTTCGCCCTCCCTTGCTAACTACATTAAGAACGAGAATGCGCGCCGCTTCCAGCAAGAGCATCAAGCGGCAGTCCAGGCGATTTTACGCAACACATTTGTTGATGATTGGCTGCAAAGTGTCTCTCTGGAAGACGATATGATTAAGCTGGCCACCACTGTACGTGACATCCACGCTGATGGTGGGTTTGAAATGCGGAATTGGATTTCCAACTCCAGAAAGGTTTTATTAGCACTGACCGGTCAGGAAGACCAAGCTGATAAGTACATCGAGCAGCCGGACCAACGCCACGAAAAGGTTCTTGGAATGTGGTGGTCTCCAGGGGCCGATTTGCTGCGATTCTTCGAGAAGTTTCCGAATGACGTCTTCGACGAGAGCAAAATTCTGACGAAACGACAAATTCTGAGAATTGTAATGACGGTGTTCGATCCCTTCGGACTTTTGGGATTTTTTATAATTTATGCAAAAATTTTGATGCAGGAAATATGGCGATCGGGCGTTTCGTGGGACGAACCAATTAAGTCGAAGGAGCTCGAGAAATGGTGGAGGTGGATTCGATGCTTACGCTCAATACCGGACGTGCGAATAACACGTTGTTATTCGCTTGCTAGTAGTGCAGATCACATAGAGTTGCACACGTTCGTGGACGCCAGCGTTGATGCCTACGCCGCGGCAGTCTACTTACGAGCGGAACGGAAAACCGAAATTGCCTGCAGTTTAGTTATGTCAAAAACTCGTGTTGCTCCACTTAAACCCATATCTATTCCAAGGCTTGAATTGATGGCAGCCATTCTGGGGCTGCGCCTGGCAAAGTTTGTTGGGAGTGAATTATCGTTGCATATCGATCGGAGAATATTTTGGTCAGACTCAAAGAACGTTCTGCACTGGATAAGGTCGGATGCAAGAAAATTCCAGCAGTTTGTAGCAGTGCGCATAGGAGAAATTCTGGAGGACTCTCAGGTCCACGAATGGCGATGGGTGCCTTCTTTACAAAACGTGGCCGATGAAGGTACCAAGTGGACTACTGATCCCAATTTCAGCAATGAGTCCAGATGGTTCACTGGACCCGAATTTCTGTTCCTACCGGAAGACGAGTGGCCGACAACTAAATTCGAATGTTTGGGCGAAAATTCCAACGAGTTACTTTGCCACATTGACACGGCGCAGAGAATTGCATCAACATCCACAGTAGCGAGCCCAGATCCGCAGCGTTTTAGCAAATGGGAAAATTTACGACGAGCGCAAGGGTGTGTACTAAAATTCCTACGTAGGATAACCCGGAATGGCAATCGGTCAGCGAAATTCATCAAGCTGGTGAGAACGACAGATATTAAAGATATTGAGCACGTCATCATACGCAACTGCCAAGAATCCACCTATGGCGAGGAAATTATTCGCCTTGCAAGGGGTGATGCTGTATCTCGCAGGAGTGCTATTTATAAATTCTCGCCGTATCTGGACGAAACTGGTCTGTTGCGAGTAAAGGGGCGCATCGATGCTGTGAAGGACGTTGTCTACGATATTCGCCGTCCGATTATTTTGCCGCGATACCATCAGGTAACTTATCTTATTACTGACTTTCATCATCGCAGGCTTCACCACCACCACAACGAAATTGTTGTAAATGAGATGAGGCAGCTGTATTGTATCAGCGGACTAAGAGCGCTGGTTCGAGCTACTGCTAAAAGATGTCAGCAATGCCGTAATAGACGTGCTGTACCGCACCCACCGCCAATGGGCGACCTACCACCGGAAAGGCTTGCTACCTTTTCTAGGCCGTTTGCGAATACTGGAGTGGACTACTTCGGGCCCTTAGAGATTGTAGTAGGAAGGCGTCGCGAGAAGCGGTGGGGCGTGCTATTCACTTGCCTCACGGTTCGTGCAGTGCATTTAGAGATTGCGCCGTCACTGTCTACGGATTCGTTTCTGCTTATTCTTAAACAGTTTATTGCTCGTCGTGGTGCGCCAAGATGCATTTGGTCCGACAATGGGACGAATTTCCGAGGAGCGAGCCGCGTTTTGCAAAGCGAAATAGAGCGCTTATCATCAGAGGAGTTGGAGCGTCGCTGCCCAGAAATCAAGTGGCATTTTATACCACCTGCGTCGCCACACATGGGTGGCTCTTGGGAACGGTTAATCCGCTCAGTAAAGTCCGTGCTGATGGACATCTTACCAGACACAGGTTTACGCGAGGA